AGTTTGAACTACACTGGAATTGTGGACACCTGTGATAATGTTTACATTTGTGGGGTTCTGTCACTTAAAATTTGCAGTAACAAAACAATAAAGTGATTAAAATTTAGCAGACTGAGCTGTTTTATTTCAAGTGTGACTGTGGGGAGACTGAATAAACCAAAACATTTTAATAATGCAGGTTTTTAGAATATCAGGTTTCTGGCTTGGATGCTTTGTTGTAGCACAAATTAAATAAACCTAAATGCTAACTGTCAAAGAATTAGCTTGAGGCTGATAAATGAGATTGCAAACTATGCAGAACCAGCACTGGCCTGTGCAAGAATGGAAAGCACCAAATTTGTCTCTGTAGGAGCTTGTGATACAACCTGAATTTGCAAAGAATTGCATGTCAAAGAGAACTTTAGACTACATAAAGATGAGCATAACAAGTCTGCAAGAATCAAGTGTGGATGTTGTAAGAAGGCATCTGGAGTGTTTTGCCACAAGAATGGATGAACTTTTATTACTGGGTTCATACAAGTAAACTATGGTCTGTCTCCTTTAAATCCGTGCAAACCCAGGACGGCTGGGTAAGTCAGTTGATGGGACAAGTATAAAAGCATTCAGTCACTTAAGGCTCCAGGTCATGAACAAAGACCAGCTGGTCTGTAGTTAAACATTCAGTCAGCAGTGAAGATCCTCGCAGCGATGTCATCTAATAACCAGTCCACACCAGCTAACAAGTTCTCTCCTGTTACTGCACTGCAACCAATGATACACCAGTGATGGCTTTTGATGTTATCCAGGGCCAGCGCCTGCAGAAGAACAAAGTGTCAGCATCCACCGTGATATATGCAACTATATCATTGCTGAAATGCAGCGTCAAGTGGGCGCAGAGCTCACCTCTCGTATTGCCTCTTTGGACAGAGCTCCTGGTAAATCCTGTTTGTTGGCAAAAACCAGCAGCGTTGCACCAGCTAACCTCTGCAAAGAACGGAGCGCAGCTTATTTAAAAATAGCCTAACCTGTTCATACTGAAATCAAATTTACATATTTTGACTCTGGCTTTTAGGAGTGTCTGTCCACAGAGGCCAGTGTGAGTTGCCCAGTTTTGAAAATATCTTAAAAGATATAGAAAGTCCAGACAACTCAGAAAAACAAGATTGATAAAAACGATTAAAGATTTGCTTTCTATTAAAGATAAAGGAATACTTCTGATCCGTTTGGGCGAAATATTCCTTTTAAATGACAGGCAGAATACCAGGGTTAAGGCTGGTAATATCCTTTAAAAAACAAAACAACCAAAATAAAGGATTCTGTCACTCCACTGTGTGTCATTCTCATATACCTCCTCCAGGAGGAGTGCGCTGAGCTCCTGTCTGCAGTCTTCCAGTCTGAGTCTGTCTGCGCTGTCCACCACCCACACCAGCCCATCTGTGCTCTCAAAGTAGTTCCTCCAGTAGGAGCGCAGTGACTTCTGACCGCCTACGTCCCAAATATTCAGTTTAAACCTGGAAACACAAGGAGTGGGAGGCATGAATGGAAATGTACAGACTGAGCTAGAAAAAAAAAGAGGTGTAAAGAATACTTTTGTACATTAACACAGGAGGTTTTCAGCAAACGTTTGCCTCAGTTCTACTTTTAAATACCGTACGAACCACAAGTTGACAAGCAGCCTGAGAGCGAAGTGCTCTATTGGGACGATACAGTCTCATTTGGTTTTATGGTAAGATGGGCCTGATTATTTAAGAGATGAAGGATTTTAACTTTGATTCTGGATTTAACAGGCTGACACACAGAAATAAAAGCCAAATCAAAAGGCACCACAGGTGGAAGGAAAGAGAGGCAAATAGATCTGAAGGGATAAAGCATTTCCTGTGACTTTTATTCCTTTATTACACTGAGGCTTCATTTATTATTTGTCATGGTTTTCACACAAGACAATACACAAAACCTACTTTCATATAGGCACATTTTCACTTTAGATTATTATATCGACCATCTTTGAAATTTTTCCGTGACTAGATTAGTTTTTTTTTTTTTTAAGAAACATGGGTGTCAAAGCAACGTGCGTGTGCGCGTGTTTGGGCCCGTGCTCACGTTACCCTTTGTGCTCCAGCGTTTTGATGTTGAAGCCCAGTGTGGGAGAGATGGTGCTGACGTCCTCCCCGTTGAATTTTTTCAAGATGGTCGTCTTCCCCGCGTTGTCCAGACCTCTGCACGCGCCAGGTTAAAGACAACTCACACACCTGAGGGGTTTTAATCGATTAATCAGCGTCTCGTATATTTACTGGAATACGTGTAACAGTTAGCATAGCAAGAAGGATGAATCCGCACAGTGGAAAAATAAAGAGAAAGGCGTTATCCGGCATCTTTATCTAACGACAGACACA